TTATCTCGATAACTCTAAATGGTTGATTAGTATCATTTGGTTCTGGGTCGTCTCAAATTGTGAGAGAAAAATTCAAGTTGTGTTGTGTGACGTTATTTAACTCATTCGTGTTTAACGAGTAACCCCGTAGGGCCCGCTGCACATCAGAGATGAGTGGAAACTAAAGTGGCCACCTTAGTGCTCTGCTCTCGTAGATCTTCAAATGCCTCGCGAAAGGCAGTGGGGAGAGGTCCAGCCAGAATGAGCACCATTAAGGGCGACGAGATGATGACAGCCAGAGTCAAATCATCCCAGAGTAGCCCCATCGGGTGTGACAGTGCCGATGCTGCCCCCCAAGGACGGCACTTAATTTGAGTGGGTCCAGATAGATACTAGGTGCAATAATTTGCGCCTCGGTCAGTCGTAAATTAAGCCAGTTTCGGAATTGTTCCGGGCACAGTTGCCCTAGTACGGTATGAAAGTCATAGTCGGACTGGTTGAGGTATAGAGTAAAGACCGTCGGTTAGCAAATAGGTACAAGTGCTTAGATCCCGAAGTATGGCGTGCCCAAAAGCCTTGGCGCGGAGGTGGTGAAATTTCCCTTCATGCTGGGATCAAGCAAGACCCGGTAACGACTAGTTTGAGCTTGAACCGTCGACAACAAAATGCCTGGATCACTCATTTGGGTAAAAGTGTCCAAAAATTATTCAATGACTTTGCAGATCTGCTCAATATTACCTCGGTAGACTGCACCATTAAATACAGCCTCACTTACTTCAGTAAGCGCCATAAATGAAGCCATAGACTGAGGTGGCTCAGTCGATCTGTCCCGCAGTATGACATTTTGTTCTGGCGGAATAGATCCATTCAAACCTTCTATCAATCACTCATAAGTACTGATTAAGGAAATTAAAGGATATTTCTTTTGAAAAGGAGAAAAGCGTCGTAGATCGACCGCTTGGTCCGCGGCGGCACTAAACATCATTCTCTTTGCCTTCAGTAATACGAGCCGGCGAAAAATCGGTGGATTGAATGAAGCCGACTGGATGTTTGGGTATTTTCCCATGAGGCCAAACCAGTTTGGGTCGGGCCACAACTGCGGCTTCAATACCGTCCATCATGGTACGTTGATTGGTGTCCGGGTCGGAATATCCCCCACTATGTGGCCCACTGTCCGACCCAGAGTCGTCGACCATGGCAGAACGGTTACTGGTGTTGCTTTGGTCGTCAAAAGCAGGCGGGATACTGGATGTATCGTCCGCCTTTAAGCCTGATGGGGCTGGCTTAGACTGTCGGGTCGGCTTAGACTGTCGGGTCGGCTTACCTTTTTCACGTATTTCCTTGATAAAGCGTGGGATGACGCTATTAAACGCTCGGTTTCTGTGATGAACCACCGAGTAGCTTTGTCCAGTACACTGGATCTGGCGAATCGGAATACGCTTATAAAGCATAATCGAAGCCGGTGGCGTTTTCTGGTAAAAGTAAACTCGACGGCTGCGAGAGCGAAGCCTTCTACAACGTTAGCCAGTGTAAGTACACCGATGGTGTGCCTTTTGGGCATACCATCGTAAATGAGTCCATCGGAAACTTCATTCGTTGACGTTGAAGATACACAAAGTACCAGTGGGGGAATTTGAGTACGTCTGGACTATGAATTTGCGCCAACAAATGGTCACTAATTTGCCCCTCAATTTGGTACACACCTCCCTGTGTCCAAACAAAGCTGATACCAGCGTGGCGGATAGCTTTGGAGTCACGCAAGTGATCAAGACTCTTTAACCACAAAGGTGATTGTGTCGATGAGCCGAGAAAAGCCAAATTAATATCAGAAAACGTGGGCTGGGATCCACATCGGGTGACACAACTCGGGTGAAACTTATTGTGGAACGCCTGCGAGAGCGGCACATCGCTTGTTACGGGCATCACGAGCAGGATCCAGCAAGGCAGCTCCAGCCTTCTTGGAGACAGCGTCCATAGGCCGATATAATTCGGCTCGCGGTACAGCATTCTGCCAGGTTTGGCGCCAATTTTGGTCTCGTTGAGATCCAGACGGGATTCTCAAAGAAACGAAAAAAGGGTCGGGAAATCAGAATTTACCTAGAAATTTAGGTAGAAGAGCTGCGGTAAGCAGGGTCTACGCTTAGTGAGAAACGGTGGAAAAGTGGAAGCTGCATCTCTGGTGTTGAATAACACCAATGTTAGCTCTATACTCTGACGAATGCGGCAAGGCGCCACGATAGATCACGCAGTTTATAACCTGTGAGTTATATTACTAAACACTATGTCGTAAGCCGCAAATCCTTACAGCAGATCACTTTATATGTATGCGGTGAGGCGACACACAATAGGGGCATAGAGGCAAAAGTTGACTGCATAAAATTGTTTTGAAAGCTTTGAGCACTCAACATAGAATGATAAGATCCCACCGAGTAAGACGCATTCTGAAATGGTCTGGGGTGCGTTTTGGAGTACAGGGAGAGTTGTACCATATATCACAATGAGCTTCTCCAACTTTTGCATGCACAAGTTTTCGTCGTGAACTTTAAACTTTATTACTCTTCTATTTTGGTAATATTTCTATGCCAGCGATACATTGAAAGTGTCTTTATTATCGTCAAAATTAGTATTTGATTTTTATATTTTTTGATGGGTATTTAAATCATAGTCGACGGTGTCACTTTTACGCTTCACGCAATCTTCAATACCCTGGCAGCAAAATCACCGCCATTGGCCACTTTTCCTCTTGAAACTTCGTCTGATTGGTTATATAGCTGTTACTCAACTAAAATGTGTCCGTCGTTGCACGAAACGGCTTTACCATCATTCTTGAGTTTTTTTCTCCTTTCTAAAGTGAACGTCAATTTTCGTTCCGCATCCTGACGTGCACCCAATTACCATACTAAGGATTCACCATGGCTGAAGCACATCAAGCCATTGGTGTCTTTGATGAGCACAAGCGTGGTGTCGAGCTGCTGTACTCAGAAGATGGCATCCGTGTGTCATTTGTTATTCCTCCACCCCACGAAATTCGACGCAGCGTCGTCCGTGAGTTTTTTCACCTTCAACGCGCGGTGAAGCGTGGCGTGTACCCTGCACCTCCTTATGCTGTCATTCTGACAGTTGTCGTCATTTCGGTGATTGTTGTGGCGTCTCCAACAGAATCGTGGTGGCGTAGTGGACCCGTTTCGCAAGTCGTTTGGCATGTTGGTAACTTTCTCGTGCCGTTTTGGTATTTACTTCCTAAGTCAATTTATGTGGCATACTTGGCAGCATGGACCGCATTTCTCGGTCTGTTACTGCTAATGGCAGTCCAAAGACTGTTCTTGCGATTACTTTTAAGTTACAGAGGTTGGTTGTACCTTGCTCCACGGCAAAAGAGTCGCACTGTAATGGCTTGGGCTGCCTTATTAAAGATATTTGGCGGCCGAAACCCGCTTACGTACTCGTTTCAGGACGCACTGCCGCGACTGCCGTTACCCCCACTTAAAGACACAATCCAGCGATACCTTAAGTCTGTACATCCTTTGTTGGCACCAGATGAGTACGAGGAAGTAGTGCAAATGGCGAACGAGTTCGTACGCAAGGAAGGTCCGAAGCTTCAGTTTTATCTGTACCTCAAGAGTTGGTGGTCTTCCAACTACGTGACGGATTGGTGGGAGAAGTATGTGTACCTTAAAGGCCGCTCGTCGCTTATGATAAATAGCAATTATTACGCGCTGCCTGGATCCAATCTGAATTTCAGCCTGACAAAAAAGCCGCTTGCTCTGGCTGCCACTTTGGTACACGAGTTTCTTTTATTCAAACAAGACCTCGACCGAGAACAGCTTGCTCCGTTGCTGATTAGAGGCATTGTACCACTTTGTATGAGTCAATATCAGCGCATCTTCTCGTGTACTCGTATTCCAGGCCGAGAGACGGATTCGTTAAAATTGTATCATCATAAGTCGAAGCACATTGCTGTATTTTGCCACGGTCACGTGTTCAAGATGCCGCTGTTTGAGAAAGGGCAATACGGTAAACTGTTAACTAAATTTGAAATCCAGCGACAGTTTGAGTGGATTGAATCGACTGCCTTGGCGATGGATCCTCCGTCGAAATCGGAAGAACACTTGGCTGCATTAACTGCTGTTGGACGTATTGAGTGGGCCAAAAATCGTGAGCAATTCTTTTCTGGTGGCGTAAACAAGCGCTCGCTGGAGATGATCGAGTCAGCGATTTTTGTTGTTGTGCTTCAAGACGATGTAGCCAAAGACTGGACGTCAATGGGCAAGAATTTGATTCATGGCAATGGCGGTAACCGGTGGTTTGATAAGTCGTTTAATCTGGTCATTTACAAAAACAGTGTGGCCGGATTTAATGCGGAACACGCTTGGGCGGATGCTCCTGTGATGGCGCATGTGTGGGAGCAAGTGTATACTAAGCAGTGCTATACAATGCCTTACGATGACAATGGAGATGCTTCTGTCCTATCAGAACGCGAGCGTGTGTCAAACTTGCCTCCTTGCCGAGTGCTCACTTGGGACTTTTCAACAGGCCTTCACAGTGCTGTACTGAAGTCTCTTGAAGAAGCTAAAGAAGCTATCAGCGACTTTGATTTAAAGGTCATTTCTCACACAAATTATGGCAAAGGATTGATTAAAAAATTTCGTGTAAGTCCCGACGCTTTCATCCAGATGGCCCTACAACTCGCTTACTACCGTAACTCGGGTACAATTACACAGACGTACGAGTCCAGTATGACTCGTCTGTACCGTGATGGTCGTACAGAGACAGTACGACCAGTGACGGATGAGTCCAAGGCGTTTGTGCATGGAATGGTGGACCCGAACGTGTCAGATGCCGAGAAGCTAAGGCTTCTTCAGCAAGCCTGTGATGTGCATCAAGAAAGCTACCGGAACGCTATGAGCGGCAAAGGCATTGACCGTCACTTGTTTACACTTTATTGTGTGTCGGTGGGATTTGGTATTGAATCGCCATTTTTAAATAATGCACTAGGTCGTCCATGGCGTCTCTCGACAAGTCAGCAGCCTCAGCAGCAGACAGACAATTGGCGCCTTGTCGAAAAAGCACTAAATGGTACTCAGTATTCAATTGAAGATGCACGTTGCCCAGGTGGTGGTTTTGGTCCTGTCGCGGAAGATGGCTACGGTGTGAGCTATATGGTCGCAGGTGAATACATGCTCGGCTTTCACATTTCTAGCAAGAAATCGTGTCCGTCTACTAGCTCGGATAAATTTGCCGAAGACATCGAGAAAGCACTCGCCGACTTGAAAGCGTTGTGGCACCCGACAGAGTAGAGTAGAATGTGCTTTTTCTCTGCGTGATTTTACATTTTTCGAATTGATTTTGTTAATTGGTCGAGTGAAATCCACGCTGATGTATTTCCCCCTACTTGAAACATTGGAACATTTTCGAGGGCATGAAGCCTGGAGATAGCTGTCACGTTAACAAAATGTAGATATTGTTCAACAGAAATTATTAGAACTCGTCGGTACATCTCAGAGAAAAGTTAGACCGCCAAAGCAAAGATTCAATCGCCACTTTGGCAAGCAGTTGCCGCTGTCTCTCAAGAAATTGTGGCAATTTTGTCATCAAGGCTCGCCGTACATCTAAAATTCTGATTTCATCCATCTCCATGACGCTCGAAAGGTGATACTTAAAACCACATCAAAAATCTTTTGATGTAAAAATAGAAGTCTCCACAAAGATAAAGATGTCAACAGCCACTGATGGTTTGTGTGAGACTGGAATAAGGAAGCAACAGCAATATAATTTGAACTTTTGGATCCGTTTGGATAACAAATGTCAGTTTGACGTAGTAGGGTAATCGAACCAACAAATGCCTCCACCAAACCACACATAAATCGTAGTGCGGATCTGGTACCAGCTCAGAAATAGGTGTGCATTCGTTTTAATTGCTAAACACTCGAGCCGCATCAGAAGGGCATTCGTGCATGTTGCACCAAGGCTATTGTCCCTTTGGACATATCCAAACATTGCTATACAATCTGATCGTACACGAGTGTAGCCATCGCTATTGTGACATGTTCGCCCTCTACAGTTGGTCTGGCTGTATTGATCAAATATCGTGTGCCAGAGCTGAAAGTGAAAAATAGTGTTTAAAAAGCATTTCGGTCATGTTCGAGACGTTGAAGATGGGCAACGATCACATATACGAGGCAACCTCGCTGCTGCAAGATACACTCGTGAACTATGAATTGGTGTATCGTCAAACAGCGTACACCACTCTGAGAAACTGAGCGCTCCTGCTGCTTTCTTAAGTTGCGAAGATGCGTTCGTACACTGCCTCAATTGCGTGCGACTCGATATTTATGAAACCTTTGGACATGCTATATATGCTGTAATGTTGGCCGTAAAATGCTGTCGATTGGCACGGGGTCCACACGTTATTCTGCGGTACATTCTTCGGGTCTTGTTTCATGCGGCACACTGAATACTAGAAATCTAAAAATTCGCTGAAGATGTATGGTAATGACGGCTTGACACCCGCTTATCCGGTTCTTGATGGCAATAACGGGAACTCATACAGGCGTACCTGTCTGAAGGCCTGCATTGATGATGCATCGTTTTTAAAATCGATCGCACAAAGTTAACAAGATATCAAACGCGACAGCATCTTTCATGGTGAATGCGAAACCCGAAGCAAGATTGGTTCGCCTTACATATCAATGCGCGCTTCAAATCGACAAGGGTCAGAACTCGAAGTATAGCTTGTTGGAGAAGTATTGTCTATTCTTGCAGCCACGAAATAAGACCCGACAAATTCTAAAAATCACACCTAGTAGTTGTCATCCTCTACAATGTTATTTGTTGATTTGTAGGGAAGTATATCTTTCTATCAGTCTGGACTACTTTTAGAGCTTTCCCATTTCATCGATAAGCAGTCAATTTTATTCGCCAATGGACAATATTCAATAGGTCGCAAGTGCTACACTGATCTCAAGTGCCCTGCCTCCTCTAAAATTGCAAAATCTTTCCTTCTCACAGAGTGTATTTTATGATAACAAGACAACCTCTTCCAAATCTAAGAGGCTTTTTGCTATGCTTTCAGCGCCGCTAATCAAATAATTAAATGATAATAGTTTTTCCATAGAAATGTGCTCATGTCGTTTGTCCGTCAAAAGCCACTTGGTATACGCTCTTTGCATAAGAGTGACCGCTTCGGAAATGGTACTGCCTTCACCATTCAGAATGTTTGCATGCGTCGGATGACGGAACGTGAGTCAACACAATCCTGATTTAATAAACTACTACTACAAATCGTAGCACTATTGACAGTCGACGACCTCATTTCATCGACCCTCTCATCATTCTTGTCAGCGCCTAAATTATGTATCTCAAACTTGCCTAAACGTTAAGTGACAAACGGTCTTGGTACTTTAGCTCATGCACTAGCCCATGACCAACAAAATCTGTGACATTTTGTCGAATAGATCCTTGATCAACATCCATCCTCCCGTTTTTAGAATGTTCCTCTTTTTCAGCTACAAATTCTGGTAATCTAATTTACAGCATGTTTGACACACCATAATCATTGAAATCTCCACTGCGTAACAAAATAAAATTACTAGCGGCAACATGGACGGCAAATAGATCGAATTCTGCCTGACATGGTTTGTCACGAAAGAACATATTTAGTACCTCAAAGGTTTCGTAAACTAAAAATTACAAGCGAGCAGCCGAAATATTCTACTTGATATGATTATCAATGTCAGCAAAATTCCTTGACATAAATTATCTTTAAATATTTCTTGACTGCCAGCACGACATTTTGCCACACCGAGGAGCACTCGGAACTGTAAACATCGCAGTAATCGAATTTCTCGAGCTTATAGTCACTTGTAAAGTGGACAATCTGTCGATCCGCTACTATATAAAACTTTTTATCCAACTGTTCCTGTAAGCATCATGCCAGAGATTGGTGCCAGGCTTAAAACGCCGTTGATGGAAGGTGACCCACGTAAGCTGAAACGTTGGCTCAAACAAGGTTTACACTAACGCACATTGTGCACGTAATTATTCACCTATGCTCAGCTTTATGTACAAGTTACTGGTGATGTTAGGTTCTTTATCTAAAAGCGTATTGTAAAGACTTTCAGTTGGTAAAAGCCCTTTCTAATGCAATAGAAACTTTCACAACGTAAGCATTTTCGTCAGCTATTCCTGCGAGTCAGCCATAAAGAGATCAGAAATAGAATCACCCCCTATTTTACATTAGCATAAAGGAATAAAATTTAACAAAGATGATATAATGATACATCGTGAGGCAAGTCACCATCGACCAGGCTAGAGCAGACAGGTCTATTCGTCCCCGCATTTAAATTGTGGACAGTTCGACCACACAGCATACGCACCTTTCCAGAAATGGGCTGACATCAGAACCCAGAGCGGTACGACAACCGTCCTTCAATTATCCAATCCTTTAGCGATCGATGATTGGCCAGCGAAGCGTCGCAATCTTACCCAGCTAAACACTTTGTTTTTGTATACCACGATTGAAGTCACTGTGACAAGCAGGAAGAATAAGCACAAAGCGTCGCGACTGTGTCGAGGTCATTCGAGCTTCCCTCATCAACTACATAGCCCCACTTTTAATCGATGCGTGCTAAAGACTGCGATAGTAAGGCTAGGGATATGGCCGAGCGTGATGACGTTACGGCTGAAAAGAAGCGTGACAAGACAGACTCGAAGTATTTGGAGTCGGAAGAGGATGAGACTGAGGAGGAGGCCGTTAGTGACAGTGATGCTGAGGAATATGTCGATATAAATGCCATTACAGCTCGTATGGGTGCGGTCAGAACACACCGCCGCTCTGTAGTGTCTTCTTTTGTCTCTCTTCCCAATGAGCAATGGGTACCGCCCGTTTATCCTAAAAGCTCTCAAGACGCTGAGTCCATTCGTCTCTCTGTGCGACGCAACTTGCTATTTGCTAATATCCCCGAAGACACACTACAGGTGTTAGTCGATGCTATGAAATACGTTGTCGTGAACGCTGGTGTGAATATAGTGACTCAGGGCGACATTGGTGGCGACAGGTTTTTTATTGTTGAAAGTGGAGTATGTGAAGTACTGGTGAATGGCCAAGTTGTCGGAGAAGTGAGTGTCACGTCCGCACGTAATTACTTCGGTGAGCTAGCATTGCTGTACGACTCTCCACGAGCCGCCACAGTGCGTACAAAGACTCCAGTAGAGTGCTGGTCGCTGGACCGAGTAACGTTTAAGCGAGTGCTTATGACCACAACTATGCAGCAGCGAGCACTTTCTCTGGATTTTCTTGGTCAGGTACCCATTCTGTCAACACTCTCAAACTATGAGAAGATGACAGTGGCTGATGCCTTACGTATTCAGTTTGTGGAGACCGGAGATGTTATTCTTGAGGAAGGCACACGAGGTGACGACTTTTATATCATTGCAGACGGGGAGATCAAGTGCACCCGTGGAGGAGAGGAGGTATCAGCAAGACTAGGAGCTGGCGACTTTTTTGGTGAGCTTGCGCTTATTCATGATGTTGTACGCCAAGCAACCGTCACAGCAATGCGCAAGACAAAGTTGCTAGTGCTGGATCGAGCCACTTTTAAGCGTTTGCTAGGCCCTATGCAAGAACATTTGCGTAGACGTGCCGACCTTTATGAGCTTTACATGAACGCACCAAGGAGTAATGAGTAGAAAAGTGATAGTATTGACAATACATTGTGTGTAATTAAGGAGCGCTTAAGACATTTAATGCAATAACAATATGAAAAAGCCTCTATAGAAGGTATTATTGAAGGTGAATATATTGTAATGTTCTAAATGGACTCGTCGAGTTAATGTCCGGATAAGGAATCGAAAACTTCGTAGATACATGTCTCATTTTCCTCGTTCCATTGTAGCTTGGTATTATGTCTTACAATATTGTTGCACAATACTTTACCACAAAATAAACAATATGCAAAAAGCTTCGTAATAAAATAGATACTTCTTATCTACTGCCGTTGAAAAATTTATACTTTGCATTGCGATCCATACAATTTCTGTTTAAGTATACATGCACTAAGCTCATCCATTATAAGATCGACACTTGAAAAAATTACTAGGTTAAACCCATTATGACAGAATTACCGTTGCACAAGCGTTGGAAGCTAATTCACCATGACAGCTTACCCGGAAGATACTTATCAATAATCGCTTGATAGTATGGCCATAGCTTCTCGACGTTCGGACGCACATCTGCCTTAGTGTATAGGTCGAACTTGTTAAATTCAAGCACCCAATCTAGCAACTCCTCATCTTCCTCATTCATAAAGTGCTTGTACTCGTTCTTATTGTGCCACGGGTAGCAAGAATGGTAGCGAATCATAGCAAGACCTTCTTCTGGAATGGTAGTCTTGTTAAACTTGAGCATCTGGTAGAGGTATTCATCGTGGCCCCAAGCAAACTTGAGGTTCTTAAAGCCACAATGAGCCTCATACATACCATACTCAGTATTGTAGCGCGCGTCGGCCATGTCTGGGTTAGAAGAGTTGTACTCAGGAAAGACAACCGTGTCGGGAATCTTACAGCCGACAACCCACGTGTCACCACCTAGTGCCCATTGATCTCCGTCCGCAGTACCCTCTTGCCCATCTTCACAGTGGCCCCAAAGGTACTGAATCTTGCCCATGTCATGCAGCAGACCAACAAGCTGGAACCAATCAGGATGCCCAGCAGCACGAATTCCTTCAGCAGTCTGAAGCATGTGCTCAAGATTGGGCAATGACGAATCCGGGTCAGACGAGTCGACGTATCCCTTCAGTGCTTCAAAAGCCTCCCACACAGTCATCTTAGCGTTGGAAAAGGAGCCATACTTGGCTTGCATCTTTTCCTGAAAAGCCACGGTTTGATTCATACGCATGAGGCCATAGTGGCGAGCGACAAGAGCGTGTCGATCCGAATCCTTGTAATTGCGAAACTCTTCTTCAGCTTTCCCACAAACGACATTACCAGTTACTTCGAGCGTCGGTTTCTTAGTAGCAAGGTTAATTTCAGCCATTTTCAAGTGAAACGTGTTTAGCCGGAAGGAAGTTGAGAAATGAACGAGTGGGGGCTACTGGTATTGAATCTGGAAGGAGGAAAATTGCAGTTGGGTGTTCAGCTTCCGTGCTGAATGTCTAATCGCATACTGAGCAAATGATCATGCACGTCTACCACTGTATGGTTAATGTTATTTTTAAGACTGAAAGATGAGTGGTTGAAAACAGTCACACGACTGTTTCTGCGACGCGCGTTCAAGTTCAACCCGTTTCTCTTCCCAAGGAGAGCGGGAGCTCCTGTAATTGAATCAAGTTTTTCAAAGGATTCTAATATTACTTGCGGTTGTCGTAGTAAGGCACAATTTAGCCAAATTGCTATTTATTCTCTCTCATATGATCAGAATAATTTGCAAAATCAGTACATCTCACAACACATTATCAAATATCTAATATGAAAATTAGAGGGTATTCAATGTATGAAAGCTTAATTTCTATTGATGACCTTCTTTTTTGTCCATTCATGCTAAAAGTAGCATTATCTGAAGAGAACAAATGTCTGAGCCAAGCTGCTTTATTTTGTGTGCGATCTTTTGATGTCATTCCCAGCTCATCAGCATCTTTACATGTTGAGTGCCAATGTTTGCAATTGCGACGTTGGCATCACCATGCGCTATCATTTCATGCACTGGAATTCTGCTTGACTAATGTATCCATACTGAAAAGTCGGTTCGAGATCTTACTCTAGGATAGTATGGGTACGCACCGTACTTGTCTTGAAAATTGAATGAATATCAGCCTGGACTTGTTCCAAACTTTACAGTCACTTAAATGAAGCAACCTTTGACGGCTGATATATTACTTTTGATAACATAACTATCATCTGCGTTGTCCTTAGGTCTGCTTGTTAGCCGTCGCTTCTCGACGCGCAGCGTCTTGCAACAACTCAGTATCTACTTCCCCCGCAGGAATTTGAACGTAGCGGATGGAGCTTCCACGAATAAAACAGTTTTTCATATTCATCTGAACCATATAAATCGATTGTTAGCACCAAAGCACATCAACGTAATTGATTATATGTACCAATTGTGGGAACTTGTCACTTTCCACGACCGATACATTAAGCAGCTTAATATTCAGATATTGGTCGACCGAGTCCAGGACGCCCATGAGCGCCACGTCGTTCTTTAGCTCAACGGCAACCTCTTTGCCGACAAGTGTCTTGAAAAACGAGTAGAAGATCTGAATTCACATAGCAATGAAAGAAAAGAAGTGTGTTAACAAGACACGCCGACAAGACAAGATAACAAGGTACCATTGCTTTGATCGAGCTATAAAAATTATGATTTCAATGAACATTTTGATTGGTTAATAAGTTCTTTTCTGGCTAGAGACAAAATTTTGAGGAGATTATACATATATATTAATATGTTATTTTAATAATTTGATTATAAAATATGCACAGTGTAGACGAACAGTTTATGTAAGTATTTGGGAACTTATCATAATACCCTAAAGGCCAATCACTGACAGTGACATTTTTTGAAAAGCCAAATTTTCAGCTAATTTAAGTATACAAATCATTGGTAAACCCATTTGTACTGGTGTGAGACTGACAAACCACAGGACCCACCGAGACTAATTGTCCTCATTAGTACCATGATTTTTGTTAATCGCTTTCAAATAATGTGAAGAGTGCGTACACCATGATACGATAGCCCCACAAGCTCAGTTTGCGTTGGCCAATGTCAATATCGGATGCACGTCAAGACTTGAGTAGAGAGTCAGAATGCCACCACAACTCAAAAGAGCCACACAATTGAGAATCAACTCCAGTCGGTGCTATTTGACGAACAAAAGCGACTCACCTCCATATGATATAGACAGGACTTTATTCAGTATCTGGTGAACTGGATGAGATGCCCACTTTCAAATTAGTGCGATTTTGATGTCCCGATCGGCAAGATTGCCAAGGCGTCGTCAATTTTAACGATTAAGCGTGTCTTCTGTCTTTACCTCCTCGAAAAACGGACAAAAGACGCGCGTAGCCGTTAGGGGTGACGGCGCCTGGGCAATCGTGTCTTTACTTCCTCGAAAGAACGGACAGAATTCTTCAGCGCAGCCCGCTTCCCACAAGCAAGTACAGACCTTCTTCTTCCCAAGCTCAAGACTTGTCTAGTAGTCATACCAGCAGATCCACGATGATGTGCTGTGGGTTGGCAGTAACAAGTTGAGGTGATAAGTATGCACCCTGACGTTTACGTTGTACTTCGTACTTCACAAAGATAAGCCTTTTATGACGCTCCAGGATGGCGGCTGTTTCACTGAAGCTGGTGTGTATAGGTATATAACAGGCGAAACGGCGAACCTTATACAACCAGTGTGTGAAATCGAGTGTGATAAACGCCGGCACTTTTGCCAGCTGAGAGAATCCATAGTGCGTGGTGCCGTGGGGGGCAGAGAGCGCTCGCGGAGCGACGTTTGGACGCTCATTTCGTCTTTGTTTATGCGGAAGGTAGGATACGTCACTTTTGATGAGATATATCCATAATTAAGATGTGACTGAGTCTGCAAAATTCGTTGCGGCTCTTTAGCTTCAGACGGGCGAGATTAAATTGATAAACTGAATCATTGGTTACGCGTTAAACTTCGCCTCTAATTTCGTTGTGGGGTGCAGGTCATGCAACAGACACGAACACTTGCGCAGATCACTTGGCGCCTAAAGCTTAATCTTATTCAGACAATTTTTTGCTGCAAAATGTAGCACATCTGATTTTTTGTAAGCTAATTGGTGTCGTTAACCCACCCGCTGAGACCCGTCCGAGTGTCAAAGGGAACGAGAGTTAGCCAAATGGCTTGAAATTGTTGTTTCGTCATTTTTAGCGCAAAATTAATAATTGGAGTGATGTTGCTCTACCATCGTAGTCGTTCCACTTGATTACCTATTACATGTCCATTATTTTTGCTAATACGGCTTACCGGATGCCAACGTAAAGGATAGATATGCGCGCTTTACATAAAAGATCTGGCTTATCTTGTTCAAGATGCTAGTACCAGACTGGAAATGTCGACCGATGGCTATCTGCAAAGATATAGCCGGATAGAACGCGTTTACTGCGTGGCGGAGTCGAGGGACAGCTTCGCTGTATACTCATCAAATAAAGCAGCTAGAGTTCCGACGGCACAATAGATCAAAATGCCGTCTTGACCGGACGTTTTTTCATAAGACCAAAAATGAAGCTTATGTTTATAGGATGCCGGAACAAGTAGACTGGCCAAGGCGCCGACATGTGCAGTTTATAAGTTGACACATTTCACACATTTCACACATTACACATGTGCGCACATAAGCGCGAATCCATCTTATCATGTTGAGCCACCAGTCTATCAAATCCCGCCCCCCGCCCAAGGGAGGCATATCAGTTTTCGTACAGTAATCTGAACTTGAGGCAGGTGCCATAACGCGTTGAGTGTCTAGTACGGCAGTGCTGTAATGAAGCTAGCGCTAACAAGAAGGCTCGATCATTTTTTTCGAGAAGATCGCATCTGAATTGTAAGGCACCTTGTCTTCTAATAGGTCGCTTGACACATGTTGCCTTCAATTGTGCGCTTTAAGTATCGTCTCATCAATTGGCGACATCTCCACTGTAACATACAAAGCCTCACAGTCAAAGCAACACAAAAGCGCATCCGTAACGACGGGAAGCCGACCCAGCGTATACGTTACCTCGAAGGCCAAACCGGCGATGGGGATGTGAGAGATGCGACAACGATGCGATGGCGCACAACAACGTAGGGTCAGTATAGACCACAGATGATTTAAGGCAGAGCAGGTACACAAGAATATACTTCATTGCAAATAGCATCTTGTCATGAATTAAGGAGTTCATTCATGTCGCTTTGGGGGGTTAACGTCAACTACAATGGACGAGTCCGCGCCCATTGGTATCCGAATGAAGTAAAACACAGCCCATTCATAGGTCAGGAATGAAATGACACAGACGGCATGAAGTCGCTGATGCTCAGCCAGATAGGTCAAAATCGAGGCATACACTAGACTGTCGCTCAAAATCATGATAACCGTTCCTTTACCACATTCCAGCATGAATAGACATTCACTTTAAACAGATTGGCGAGAGTCGTGCCGTTTTAACACAATTTGCACCAAATTAGTGCAAGTGATATGCTACTTTTGAAGCCACTTTACGACAGTGTTACTTGGCTGATCTTAGATGGCTTGATATTTTCCGGAATTGCCAGCGAGCTTTTCTTCTAAATGAAGCAATTCAAAAAATGTGATCTCGCCAGCGCCAAAAACACTTATTCAGATTTACGAACATTTTTTTATTGCATACATTCGAGCAATGCTTGCAAGCGTTAAATGTGGGTAAACACATTCAATTTCCCGTACTTTGCACAGTTTCGGGTGAATACACCGTCGTTATAGGCTTTCTCGTAGGTGCAATGCAGCCTAAATTAGTGTTTTTTGGTCAACTAAATTACGCTGGTGCGTTAGGCAGTCCCTGGGTATTATCAGAGCATCCCGCCAAATTTGCGTACTGTAGTGATAGAATTGTCAATCACTCTAATAAGTGAGCGATAATGTATATCTGCTGGATCAAGTGCACTGAGAGCG